GGGGGGGGGGGGGGGGGGGGGAGGGAGGAGGGAGGACTGTGATTCTGTGATCCAAGCCCCTGGGAGCAGCACACTCCCTACCCACCGTCTGTAAATCCATGAATTTGCATGAGCAGCAAGCACTGTCCACTGTCTTGCACCTGTAGGTACCGTTTTAAAATAACCCTTTAAAAATATACACAGATGCAGTGCAACTGACGTATAAAATCCTAAATAGTTCACATCACCATCTTTTTTCCTAACCTAAGATATTAAAAGGGATACAAATACCACAAACGGGCCTGTAACAACGGCATTCTCAGAAACACTGGGAAAATATTTCTAGAAGAAATGGGGAATCACCGTAAGGTTTTAAGGGTGGGGAAAGGACAAGGTCAGACTTGTTGTAGAGCAACCGAGCAAGCGCAAGTACAGAGATACGTACACAGTAATGATAGCAGTGAGCAGAGAAGGCAAGAAAGGAATGAGCGGAAGAGGCAAGCGGGGAAGCGGAGCTCAGCTCTGGATGCCGAGGTGCTAGAGCCCCCAGGGCCCACAGGCAACACTTCTGGAGCGCTTCCTATGTGCCACTGGTCCAAATGCTCAACCACCCGGGGAGGAGGCACGGGCGGTGAGGGAACTTGACGGACATCAAATCCCAAGCCCAGGGAGTCCACGACAGCCCCAGGTGGTGGGGCGCCAGCTCGCACCGAGTCCGAGGGCACGGGGGAGTCCACCCAGCAGCCAGCCCCCCAAGACACTGCTGGCTCCCCCAACAGCGCGGCTCCAAACAAGGTCCCCCATCTGAGGTTTTTTACATTCTGAGAATTCAAGGGAGAGAGAGAGAGATCAACAGGAGACTTGAACTCCGGACACAACTCCCCGTCTAGCACCAAGGCAAGGAAATGTCTTGCTCTGAGAAACACTCTCCCATCACAAAGGCAGGAATTACCATTTGTTCACCACCATGTCCCTTGTGCCCAGGACAGTGCCTGGCAGAGGGTAGGCACTTGATAAACAGAAATAAAACTCACAGTCTTTGCAAGCAGGAAGATTTTACACCAGTTGGACAAACCTGTACTCCAGTTGGAAGTGCTTTGGTACTACATCTGTGTAGCGTGCAAATGTACAGAACCAAGGGCATAGTTCTCTAATCTGATTATGAGGATGGCCCCGATGTAAAGAGGTCTGAGAAACTGCTCTGCAGTTGTGGTGACCTGGAGTGTGGACAAGCCCAGAAGATGGGACCAGGTTTTTCTGCAAATATATCCCAGGATCCACACCCCCACTTACCTTTGGGGTCACCCACTCCTTCCGGTTGGGCGTCTGTGTCTTGACCATACACTTGGTCCAGGCAGTGACATCCCCGGTACAGTAATAGGCATCGCTCTTGAAGACCAGCTGGCCTGAGCATTCCTCGCAGGGAAGGAGGGCACCGAACACCATGCCATCGGCCACTCGGTCCAAGATCTGAAGCCAGTGAAGAAGAGAAGCAAGTCAAGGAGGAAAGAAGCAGCTACAGGAGAGGACATTTACCAAGAATCTGCACGGACTCCACTCGCTAAAAAAGAAGGGAGGGACTGCCCTGAGGTTCCTAACATTCCCCGGAGAAGGTGGTTTACAGTTGGAGCTTGCATTTTTTTTTTTTTTTTCCCCGGTACGCGGGCCTCTCACTGTTGTGGCCTCTCCCATTGCGGAGCACAGGCTCCGGACGCGCAGGCTCAGCGGCCATGGCTCACGGGCCCAGCTGCTCCGCGGCATGTGGGATCTTCCCGGACTGGGGCACGAACCCGTGTCCCCTGCATCAGCAGGCGGACGCTCAACCGCTGCGCCACCAGGGAAGCCCGGAGCTTGCATTTTTGTGCTTTATGAGACCTTACTTCCACGCATGAGGGGTTCCTGCAGCTCCCCTTTCCCTCAGTGACTTAGAAATAAAGGCAGAACATCCACTGTTTCTGCACCAGAGGGACGGCAGGGCAGGGCCTGCAGGGGAGACAGCCCTCGCAGCCCTCGGGGAGTCTGTGAGAAGAAGGCAGCAGAGAGGGCTCCTCGGGCCAAAGTTTGTGGTGTGAACACACGAGGCAGATGTGCAGCCCACCTCGGTCCTTGAGCGCCTGCCCCTTCCTGCCCCCGCAAGCGGCGACCTCGATGGCGATGACCATGCAACACGACTATGGAATTTCACTCCCAATTAATACCAGCAGGTGTTCACCCGGAGGGCCTCCCACACTCCACCGGGGCTGTCACTGTGCACCGCGCATGGTCTGGCCGCTCAGCTCGGCGCCCGTAACACAAAGGCAGCTCACCGCAGACTCCCCGGAGGGCACTTGTTGCTTGTTGAATATGAGCAGCTCTTTCAGGTCATTCGTCGAACATGCTTTCTTTAGCTCGTCCTTGATGTTCCAGATCAGGTTGTTCTGGGCCTGTGCACGAGAGCCAGCAGCTGAGAGACCAGCTCCTCTCAAAGAAAGAAACCCAACTGGAGGAAGACTCCACCCTGGCTTGCTTCTGCCTCTAGTCACAGCCCCACGCTCAGCTGAGCTGCCCCGGGGCTGCCGCATCCCCAGAACTGTGCTCCCAGCTCGCGGCCGCGGTGTCCGCCTGGGGCGCGGGCGCTCAGGGAGGACCAAGGCAGGTGGGGAGGCTGCGGCCCAGGCGCCGGGGTCCCCGGAACCAGCCCCTCAGGGACAAGTCCCAGGACACACAGGAACACACCCGAAGCACCAGGTTCATCTGCCCCAACACCCGGCCCCTAAGGGAGGAAGGGGCGGCTCCTCAACAACGTGAAAGCAAGCAGCAGGGGCGATCCCCAAACACCTCCCACCTCCTCAATACTCAGTGGCACGGAGGAACAGACTTAAGCTCTTCTGAAGATAGAACTTTAAACCTCGGTGGTAATACTCATGCAGCGCCTACTCTGCGTGGGACACTTTTCACGCCATCGCACGCACTCTCACGACCACCTTGGCCAGCAAGGCAGTAGTCTCCCGACGTCAGAGGCAGGGCAGGGAAGAGCGTCCTCCCGTTTGAGGGTGGTGGGCGAGTTACTCACGTCTCAGCCTCAGACCCCACCACCTCTGCAAACAGGAAAATGCCGGCCCTCTCTGCACCGAGCGAGGAGTTGTTTAACTCGCTTGTCACGTACACGCGCACACACGCGCGCGCGCGCGCGCCCTTTCCCAGCCTCTGTAAGGGCCTCTCTAGATAACATCCTTGCCTGCAGCGCCACGTGCTGGGCCACTGGTGACGGAGACGAGGGAGCACGAGGCAAAAGTCTAAGGGTATAAGGTTAGATCAGAGAAGCAGAACTTTGTCATCTGCGAGACCAAGGATGGGAGGCCAGCATAAATGGGTGTGCCAGGGTGGGGACCATGCGCAGTGTTCCCAGCTTCTGATTTTCGTTTTACCTCTGACAACACTGGAGACGGGGAAGATGGGCAGGAAGGGCAAATGCAGAAGAGCACCCCAGCTCCACTGCAGCTGGGGTTGGCACCAAACTGACACAGTTTTCATTGAAGGACAACCACACCGAATCTGTGATTCTCATCAAGCAGCTGGAACCACACCAGAACTTGCTTCTAATTTTTTACACCACCAACAAAAACCGGAATAGTCACGGAAGAGTGCAGCAGAGGGCTCATGGAAATCACGTCCCCAAGAAGCGACTGACTGCTCTCCCCTAGTTTCCCCAACACTCACCTTTTTCTGGTTAACAATTTTTACTTCGTTTCGACACACACGTAACCAACACGGCGATGAATTTCTCTGGTCAGTGACCGCTGACCTAACGGGCAGTTTGCTCCTCTTAATACATGCCTTTTATTATTATTTTTTTTAACAAGAGATTTTCATTAAAAAACATGGAACTTCATCTCTTCCAGCCATTGCCTGTGCCAAGAACCTGTGGCATCCTTGAATTTGATACGCAGTTTCCAACGTGCTACAGGTCCGGGAGGCACAGTGATGCACAGTGTGGCTGAAGCACGACGTGCCCGTCCCAGCGTGAGGCTGCCGAGCGGGAAGCAACAGCTCAGCTCCTGCCGAGCCCAGCTACTGCTGCTCTGGCGCCTAGAGCCCACTGTGGGTGCTCTATTAGAACTAAAAGAACTTCTAAAAGAACTACTGCTTTCGGAGCACGGAAGCAAACCTGGGGGAAAAGCCAGGCTATTTAACAACAGCTATCAAGTTGGGAATTTTTACAGCTCTCGTTAAGCAGGACACACGCACCTCCTTGAACTTGCTTCCCAGAATGAGGAAGAGAGTTGAGACTGAATGGCGAGAGGAGACGCCCAGCTCGGGACTCACCTTGAGGGCCTTTTCAAGCTTACTCTCCTTGTCTTTTTCTTTTCTAGATTTCTTCTTGGCCACTTCCTCCATTCCATCCACCTCATCACCTTTTCGCTTTCTGAAAGAGACAAAGGATGTAAGGGAAAGAACCAGAGCCATTCGAGCCCTGAAAGCCAACAGCTCTGGCGACACACCATCCTAAGGCCATTCTCATGCGGCTCAGCCGGGCCCTGCCCGCTGAGAAGCTCGCCCTCTGCTCAGGCAGTGTCTGGGGCTGACGTCATCCACTGCAGGAAGCACAGCTGCCAGGAGGGGCCAGCGGTCCCTCCAGGGCCTCGGAACAACCCGGCGCAGCACAGATGAGAGAGATGGCCTGGAAGGTTCTGGCAGGGACTACGCCAGAGGTAAGACCGTAGCCGAGGGCGGGGACTGCATCAGTGCCAGGTGCTGAGCCTTTCAATCTAAGACACAGGGCTGCTCCTGAGGCCAAGAGGCTGTTCTCAGACCGGGGAGGCTGTGCTGCCACTTCCAGCCCAACAAGAAGCGGTGGTCTAGGCGCTGCCCACCAGTCTGCCTCAGCAAACGCTGCCGACCAAGTCCAGCGGCATCACTCCTGACCTAAGAGGGGGCACGGAGGGTCATCGGTAGGCCCTAGAATCAGGGCAGGCCAGCCACGGAGGTTAATACTCACTTTCAGCCATCACACAGGCCTGAGATCAAACCCTTGCATTTTCCCTCATCCGTAAAAACAAGGGAAAGAATACCGTCTACTCTGTAGGGTCGCGGTGACGGTTAAATGAAATATCCTCTGTAAGGCTTAGCATGGCACGCCACAAGCGCCCAACCAATGCTGGTTGTTACAGCATCAACGTGAGCTTGTTGACTCCCACACCTACACCCCACATCAAAGCACCCTGAGGCTTTCTAAATCTGTGGGTCCGACTTTCCAGTTTTCTTTCCCATGCCAGAGCCACGTGTGCGGTGCAAGAAACTTGTGCGTTTTGAACTGAAATACTGCGTGAAGGCCGCTTGAAGATGGGGAGGTGGGGTCACCCCGACCCTACACTGTCCAAGGAGCACAGTGTACACCACCGCCCTGCCACGCCCCCCTTGGTGGGCTCGTCACCAAGAACTAGACTGGGGCCGAGGGACTGGCAGAGGGAACACAGGAAAGAAGTACCACAGGATCAACACGGACCTAAATGTTAGCACCGTATGAAAGCCATTCTGAACTCAACCAGATAACTTATCGACCGCCCACCCCTGCTACTTAAAAGGAGTCAAGATTCTCCCAGCGCCGTTCTCAAGAGAGACCCAGACACACAGGGACACATCCACACACGAGGACATCAGGGGGACGTGAAAGTTGGTCACGCAGGGGTCAGAGGAAAGGTGGCGGTGGTGGACTCCAGCCAGGGGAGCGCTCAGACGGAGCAGGGGGAAGTGGGATTTGCTCTCTGCCTGTCCACGGAGGTCAGGTGCGGGACAGGGAACAGACCACCAGCAGCGGCAGGAACACGCACTGCAGCTTCCCCAGGCCTTCCCTGCTCTGTCCCCCACTGCCTCAGCTGGGGAAGGGGCGGAGCTCTGCTGCCCCCCAGCGCCTGCACCCCCAGCTTTCTGACGGGCAGCAAGGGGAACACAGGAGTGATATGGACTCTGGGCCTGTGTGAAGCCTCCACCCTGCCGGCCCCGGCACCCACCCTTCACTCTTGATGGCCGGGAGCTGCCTCTTCAGGGCTTCCTTGTCCTCCGCGGCGAGGAGGCTGAAGCCCTTGAGCTGGCTCGCGCTGTACTCAGGCCGGAAGCCCAGCTCCTCTCTGTTCTCCACAAAGCAGTTCGGGTGGTACCAGCGGTCGATCATGCCTAGCTGGGGCTTCTCGGGGTCCAGCATCTTCTTGGACAGGCGCACCTGGCCCTGTAGGAGAATCCACATGTGTTACCAAAGACAGACAAGGAAGGATGGTCAACCATCGGGGGGCCGGGGGTGACCAGGTCCACACCGAAGGCAATGGGAGGGCTGCTGGGAGGTTTTGGCTCTTTTATGCCACCAAGGATTATGTTTCCCTCAAGCCTCAGCACCCCGTTTAAGAAGGGGTTAAGTTCAACCAGCTACCAACCAGCTACCCACCTACCTAGCTGCCTGGGCAAGTGAGGAAGTAACAGCATTACCCTGAGGATGTTCTGCTGACCTGGTGCAGACATAAGAACAACACCTGGGCTGCTGTATCGCAGGCTCAGAAGGAGCCAGTGCAGACCCCAATTCTAGCAGGGACTTTCTGCAATCTCCCCACCCAGACTCTTCAGTCTCTTTACACATATGAAGACCCCCTAAGATGCAGTAATAAACTATCTTATGCTAGAATCTAGCCCTGCCATCCTCCCCAGGTTTACAATTCCCAGGCCTGACATTCCTGAGCCCAGACTGGAAACCTTGCAACAAGGAGCACCGGACACTACTCCACTTCAGGCCAAGCAACACTCAGCAGCACACAGCCTCGGGCATTCCCTTGGGAACCTTAACTTTTGCCTCAAATTCTTGTGGTTGAAGGTAGCTGGAAAAGATCTAGCAATTTCATGTTTTTCCTTTCTAAACACCCACTGACTCACCTCAATTTCCTGTATAATACCAAGGAGGCAGAAACCTTTAATCGATGCCTTGAATTAACCAACCAGCATGTTTACCTAAGATCAGAGCATCTTGGGTAATGAGGCGAAAGGGCACAGGCCGACCCCTCCACCTGTGTCCCTGCTACTCAGATAGCCGTCATTCTGCCAGACCAGCTGTCATTCTTCAGGGACCAGAGCTGGTAGGGAAGGGTGGTTAATGAAGTTCCTGATTAAGAGGAAGAAACCTGGAGGCTCATACCAGGGAAGAAACACACTCCGTAAACTTAATCCTACCATAAAATACAGCTTTCCCCCAGCCACTGCACAGCCCAGGAGAGAGCCCTTGTGTAAATGTTTTTCAAACTCTGCCAGGTCTCCTAAAAGCAGGTGCAGCGACGTACATGGGCTGGACCATGAATAATCAGGGCCAGACCTGCCTGGAAGAAAAGTCACTGTCATCTCCTGTCTCTACTAAGATCTTCACTTTATTTTTAACCACTGGTGTTGACCCAGCACCTAAAGCCCCTATTTTTTCTTTTCTTTTGAGATATCCGATGACATCCATCGCAAGAAATCCAGAAAGTCAGCCAGGTGAAGTCCAAAGCTCTCACTCACCTTTTCTATCTTCTCCATGCAGCCCTTGCATGTGCTTCTGTTGGACTTGGCGTACTCTGCTGCAAAGTCGCCCAGTGTCTTCTCCGTCTTGCTGCCAACTCCATCTTGGCCTTTGCCTGAAGCATGAAACACAGCCACGCTCATTTTAGCAGCCCCCGCGCAGCTCCAAGGAGCCCCTGTCTTCCTCCTCTACCTCTTGGGATTCCTCTACCAGGACACCTTGTGTTCTGGGTGACCACAGCTGGTCCATCTCATCTACACTTGTTTCTTACCATTGTGGTTGGTTAACAGAGCTTTTCTGGCAATAAAATAAAAAAAATTCTCAGACAGCCTTCTGGAAACAGCAGTGTTAGCTGGTGGTGGTCTCGCTGTCCCCCTCTATTTCCTCTGTAGCCCCCTTCTTCACTTTGGAAAGAACGTAAGTGCTTACTATGAAAACCCTGTAACATACTAAATTCCAACACTGCCTTCTAATTTCCATTACACCTTCACTTATCAGAGTTGAGTGTTGAGTTAAAAGGAGTATCTTGATATAGGAACAGATAAAAGTATATGTAATAATTAAACATGTGGAGCTACAAGGATATATTGTACAACACGGGGAATATAATCAATATTTTATAAATATAAATGTAATATATTACACGAGTCACTCTATTGTACACCTGTAATTTATATACTATTGTACATCAACTATACTTCAATAAAAAAACAAAAACAAGAGAGCTGACAAACAACAACAAAAAAACAAAAAAACTCCATAATCAAGAGAAAAAGAAAATTAAATATGTGGTAAGGTGGCATTCCTAATTAGCGGGGAAAGATTGAATCATTCAATAAAGAATCTTGGGGAAAAATGGCCAACCATTTGGGACAAAAACTAGATTCTTTTCTTATATAAAAATAAACTCCAAGACTGAATGTTTCTCTCCTAAGATCAGGAATAAAGCAAGGCTGTCTTCTCTTACCACAGACAACACTGTACTGGAGGCTCTAATACGTGCAGTAGGCAAGAAAAAGAAACAAAATGTGTAAGTGTAGAAAAGAACAAGTAAAGCCATCTCTATTTGTAGATGACATGACTGTAACTGGGATTAGTCTTAAGAATCTACAAAAAAGCTACTAGTACTATTAAGTGAATTTAGCAAAGTTGCAGAGCACAAGGTCAATATAAAACATTTCTATATATTAGCAATAAACATACTGGAAAAAGAAATTAAAGCACACTACTATTTAAACAGCATTAAAATACACAGAATACTTAGAGATAAATTTAATAAGACATACAAGATCTCTCTCTACACTGAATCTACAAGATTTTGCTGAAATTAAAGAAGAAATGAATATCATGTTTATGGACCGAAAGACTCAATTTACTATGCTGTCAATAATCCCCAGTTTGATCTACAGATCTGATGCAAGGCCAATCAGAATCCTAGCAAGCTTTTCGAGGGAGAAATTGACAAGTTTACCACAAAATTTGTAAGGAGATGACAAAGGACCTAGAAAGGTCAAAATACTATTGAAAAAGAACAAATTTAGAGGAATTACACTACAAGACTTCATGACTTACTCTAAGGTTACAATCATTAAGACACTGGAGTCGCATAAATCAGTGGAACCAAATATCGAGACCATATACAGACCTATCATCAGCTGATTTTGATAAGGAAGCCAAAGTCTTTTCAACAAATGGTGCTGGAACAAAATAATAGCCACATGGGGAAAAATAAAACAAAAAACGTGTGCCTCACACCTAACACAAAAGTTAATTTAAGATAAATAAAATTAAATAATTTAAGATAAGTTAAAGCTACAAAACTCCCAGAAGTTCTGGAGCATATCCTTCAATGACCTTAAACAGTAAGCAAAGATTTCTTAGGAGACAGAAATTACTACCCCAAAAAGGAGAAAACAACCCCACAAAAAAACAACAAATTGGACTTCATCAAAACGAAAAACTATTGCTCTTCAAAAAATGTCAGTAGGGCTTTCCTGGTGGCGTAGTGGTTAAGAATCTGCCTGCCAATGCAGGGGACACGGGTTCGAGCCCTGGTCTGCGAAGATTCCACATGCCGCAGAGCAACTAAGCCCATGCGCCACAACTACTGAGCCTGCGCTCTAGAGCCCAAGAGCCTCAACTACTGAAGCCCGCGCGCCCAGAGCCTGGGCTATGCAACAAGAGAAGCCACTGCAATGAGAAGCCTGCGCACCGCAATGAAGAGTAGCCCCCGCTGGCCGCAACTACAGAAAGCCCATGCAGCAACAAAGACCCAATGCAGCCAAAAATAAATAAATAAATTTTTTAAAAAGTCAGTAAATAAACGAAAAGACAAACCTCGGAATGGGAGAAGGTATTTGCATTATTTATATCTAATAGAGGACACGCACCTAGAATATTCTAAGAACTCTTACAACTCAATAATAAAGACATGCAAATTAAAACCGTGATATCACTACACACTTATTGTAATGGCTAATAGCAAAAAGAGTGACCATACCAAGTGCTGACAAGGGTGTGGAGGAACTCTCAAACAGTGCTGGTGGCAATGTAAAATGGTCCAACCGCTTTGGAAACCAGTTTGGCACCTTCTTTAAAAAGCTGAACGTACATCTAATGTATGATCTACCACTCCATTCCCAGCTACATACCCAAGAGAAACGAGAGCACATGTACGTACAGAGCTTGTACACAAGTGTTCGTAGCAGCTGTATTTGTAATGGTCCCAATCTGTCAACAACTTAAAAGTTACCAACTGGAGAATGGATAAACCAAGTGTGATATACTCAAGAGACTACTCCTCAGTAATAAAGAAAAGAACTGACGACACACGAGACAACCTGGATAAGTCTCACAGACATTATGCTGAGCGAAAGCAGCTTACGAGAGAAAAAGATACTATTCCTTTCTCCCTGAAACTCTACATCACACAAAATTAATCCAAAGGGATAGAAATCAGAACAGTGGTTACCTTGCTGAGGCGGAAGATGACTCGGAAAGGGCATAAGGGACCTTTCTGGGGGTGGCGGGTACAGAAATTTGATGGGGTGAATATTAGATGTGTGTATGCATTTGTCAAAACTCACTGAGCTGTACACGTAAAGTTTGTGCATATAACTGTATGTACGTTATTTTTAAAATTCCGGATGAAAGATTTCAAAATACCAAAAACAGATACTTTATTCAAAATACCCAAAACAGGTACTTCTGGGCTTCCCTGGTGGCGCAGTGGTTGAGAGTCCGCCTGCCAATGCAGGGGACGCGGGTTCGTGCCCCGGTCCAGGAAGATCCCACATGCCGCGGAGCGGCTGGGCCCATGAGCCATGGCCGCTGAGACTGCGTGTCCGGAGCCTGTGCTCCGCAACGGGAGAGGCCACAACAGTGAGAGGCCCGCGTACCGCAAAAAAAACAAAAAACCAAAAAAAACCCAGGTACTTCAAGTGAGAAAACAGATATGACAAGAACATTTAGTCAAAGATGAAGCTTCAATATGATGAAACAGAAAATAACCTATCTAAAAGAAAAATGTCAAACCAGGAAAAATATTTGCAAAACATGAGACCAAGAATTAGTATCTTTTGTACTTCACTAAGGAAAAGAAAAATATCCCAAGAGAAAAATGAGGAAAAGACACACACAACTATTAAAGTAACACAAATGACTGATCAACACATGACAAAATGTTCCATGTCACTAGGAGCAAAATGAAAAGGAATGAAAATACTTAGGGATGGTGTGGAAGTGGAGAAATGGGTACATCGCATACTGTTGGTACAAGTGGAACTGATACAACCTTTCTGAAAGGCAAGCTGGCACACACAGAAGGCCTTCAAATACTTTCTCTTTCAGCAGTATTTCCCCCCCCTTGGAATTAAAGAAAAAACTGGACAGGTGCCCAGGATATACCAGAAATCTGCGGCAGCTCTATGTGTAATAGAGCCAAATGGTTTAAAGTCTAGTTTCAAAAGCAAGAGAGTCTAGACTTGAATCTCAGCTCGAACATTTACCACCAGCATAACCTTGGGCCACTTATCTAACCTCTAGGTGTCTCAGCTCCTCAACTGGAAAAACTGGTAAAGGGCTGGGGCAAGGATTCAATGAAATTAATATACGTCAAATACGTGAATGATGCGCAAAACTGAGCAAGACCTCAAGAAGTGAGTACTACGTACCTTTAACGATAACGATGGAAATCTGTAACTTAACATGAAGAGTAAATATTAAGCTGTATAATGCAACAGGTAGGTATGGGGAAGTACAAATCAAGATCACCATGAAATACCACTTGAAATCATTAGGGAGAGTATTACTAAAAAGAAAAAATCCTGAAAAACCAACCTCCCCTCCCCTCCCGCCAAAATCCAGAAAATAAAAGTGTTGATACGGATGTGGAGAAATCAGAACCCCATGTATTGCTGGTGGGGATGTATAATCCCGCAGCTGCTGTGGCAAACAGTCCTGCAGTTTACACAAAAAATTGCATATAGAATAACTATATGATCCAGCAATTCCACTTCTGGGTATATACATAAGAGGACGGAAAGCAGGGTCTGGAACAGATATCTGTATACCAATGTTCACCAATCACCCATCGGCAGAAACGACGCACGTGTCCGTCAATGAATGAATGGATAAACAAAATCTAGTAGAGCCATGTAACAGAATATTATTCAGCCTTAAAAAGGAAGGAGATTCTGACACACGCCACATGAATGAACCCTGAAGACATTAGGCGGAGTGAAATAAGTCAGGCACAAATGGACAAATATAGTATAAGCCAAACACAAAAGGACAAATACTGTATGATTCCACCCATATGAGGTAATTAGAAGTAGTCAAATTCATAGAGACAGAAATAAGAGTGGTTGTCAGAGACTGGGGGGAGGTAAATGAGGAATTAGTGCTTAATGGGTATGGAGTATTAGTTTGGGAAGATGGCAAAGTTTTGGAGATGAATGGTGGTGATGACTGCATAACAATGTGAATGCACTTAACACCACTGAAACGTACACTTAAAAATGGTTAAGATGGTAAATATTGTGTTATGTATACTTTATCACAAGAAAAGGTGACTGAACATTAAAAAAAGTTAATACCTAAGGTAGAATCCCACTTCTGCAGGAATGAAAACACACACGCATCAATATTTGAATAGAGGGCTTCCCTGGTGGCGCAGTGGTTGAGAGTCCGCCTGCCGATGCAGGGGACATGGGTTCGTGTCCCGGTCCGGGAAGAGTCCACATGCCGCGGAGCGGCTGGGCCTGTGAGCCATGGCCGCTGAGCCTGTGCTCCGCAACGAGAGAGGCCACAACAGTGAGAGGCTCGCGTACCGCCAAAAAAAAAAAAAAAAGAAAAAAAAATTTGAATAGAAAATAATTTTCTAATAAGACACCCGCAACATTAATGATAGTTCTTTCTGAATTACAGGATCTGGGACGATTTAACTTTTTGTTCTCATCAACAGCCTGGAGTCACAACAACAGGTTAAACTGGGTCAGTTCACAGCAAGGCAGAGAAATGAGAATTCAGTCTCAGGAGATCTTCAAAAGGGGACCAAAAAAAAAACTGTTTAAAATTTAAAGGCATCTCAGCAAGTCTGCGGATGCTGACAAACTGACCAAGGCTTATATGGAGAGGCAGAGGACCCAGAAGAGCCAATACAATATTGAAGAGGAACGAAGTCAGGGGACTGACACTGCCGGACTTCCAGACTTGCTATAAAGCTATATAATCAAGACAGTGTGGTACTGGTGAAATACACAAATTGATAAACATGCCAGAATACAGCCCAGGAGCACAGCCACACAGATGCGATCAACTGATGTTTGAGGAGCAAAGGCAACACAGTGGAGAACAGCCTTTTCAACAAGTGGTGTGGGGACAACTGGGCATCCGCATGCAAAAAAATTTAATCTAGACAACAGATTAAACCTGTCGCAAATATTAACTCCAAATGGATCACAGGGGCTTCCCTGGTGGCGCAGTGGTTGAGAATCTGCCTGCCAATGCAGGGGACACGGGTTCGAGCCCTGGTCTGGGAAGATCCCAAATGCCGCGGAACAACTTAGGCCCGTGAGCCACAACTACTGAGCCTGCGCGTCTGGAGCTTGTGCTCCGCAACGAGAGGCCATGACAGCGAGAGGCCCACGCACCGCGATCAAGAGTGGCCCCTGCTCGCTGCAACTAGAGAAAGCCCTCGAACAGAAAGGAAGACCCAACACAAATAAAGAAGCTTTCATTTAAAAACAAACAAACATTGTTTTCAGAATAATACTGTGTGTCACTGATTTGTCTAAATAGCACTCCCACACCCAGTATTTGGGGGAAAAAAAAATGGATCACAGACTTAAACGTATTGATAGAACACAAAACTATAAAACTCCTAGAAGATAACACAGGAGAAAATCTAGATGACCTTGGGTATGGTGATGACTTTTTAGATACAATACCAGACCTAGTACATGAAAGAAATAATTGAGAAGCTGGCCTTTATTAAAATCAAAAATGTCTACTTTGTGAAAGACAGTGCCAAGAGAATAAAAAAGACAAGCCACAGACTGGGAGAAAATACTTGCAAAAGACACATCTGATCAAGGACTGTTGTACAAACTATATGAGGAACTCAATAAAACGAACCTGATTAAAATCGGGAGAATATCTGAACAGACCCTTTACCAAAGAACATATACAGATGGCAGACAGACATGTGAGAAGATGCTCAACATCATATGGTACTAAGGAACCGCAAATTAAAATGAGATACCACTACGATCATTTTAGATTGCCAAAATCCAAAACATTGGTAAAAAATGCTGGTAAGAACGTGGAGGAACAGGAACTCTCATTCATTGCTGGTGGTAATGTAAATGGTTTGGCCACTTTAGAAGACAGCTTGCAGTCTAAACATACTCTTACCATACAATCCAGCAATCGTGTGCCTTGGTATTTACCCACGTGAGTTGAAAACTTAGGTCCACCCAAAACCCTGCACATGGATGTTTATAGTAGTTTTATTCATAAGTGCCAAAACTTGGAAGCACCCACGGTGTCCTTAAATAGGTGAACGGATAAACCTTGGTACCTCCCAACAATGGAATATTATTCAGTGCCCAAAAGAAGTAAGTTATTGAGCCGTGAAAAGATATGCAGGAACCTTAAATGCATTATTACTAAATGAAATAAGCCAATCTGAAAAGGTTGCATACTGTTTGATTCTAACTATGTGACATTCTAGAAAAGATGAAACTATGGAGATAGGAAAAATGTCAGTGGTTGGCAGAGGGAGGGATTAACAGGTGGAACACAGAGGAATTTTATAAGGGAGTGGAAATACTCTGTACGACGTTATAATGATTGATATATGTCATTATACATTTGCCCAAACCCATGTAAGATGTACATCACCACGAGTGATGACTAATATAAACTATGGACTTTGGGTGATGATGTATCAGTGTAGGTTCAGTGACTGTAACAAATGGACCATCTGCTGGGGGATGTTGATAGTGGCGGAGGTCATGCCTCTGTGGGTACATGGGAACTCTCTGTTCTTTCTGCTTAATTTTGCTGTGAACCTAAAACTACTCTAAAAACAAGGTCTATTGAAGGTAACAACCGCAACAAATGTAAAGGCTACATTTCAAGCATCTGGAGAAATATCCTGCACCAAACAGAACACTGGGTCCCTGAGGCGCTGCTGAAATAACAGAGGGGTAAGTGAAGGACCTTTTCTTTGCTGCCACAGAAAAGCTCCCCCTCCCCCCCACAACCCAGGAAACTTTAGGGGTTGGGGCGACCCCCGCACCTCCCCAGTGTGCACGCACCCGTCACTCCTCCAGCCTCAGCCGTCTTCTTGACCTTCTGCTGGTCATCCCAGCGGAGCTCGGAGAACCCATCCACCTCGACGTCAGGGTGCCGTATGGAGTGGCCGACCTTCCAGAAGCAGGAGAAGTGGTACCAGTGCGGGACTTTTCCGTCGAACATGGGCGACTAGAAGGGCGCAACCAGAGGAGGAGAAAGCGCAGTGAGCCTCAGGCCCGGCCCTCAGCACCTGGCATCCTAGCCCCCCCGTTCGCTTACCTGTAAACCAAGGGCAGCCTCCTCTCCACTCCCCGACGCCGCAGAGGAAAAGCTACCAAGATGGGCAATCAGCACCCACCCCTCAGCTATGAAAGCTGCCTGCCGAGCCCGCCCTGGGGACAGGGACCAGGACATCCCTCGGGACTGACCGCCTTTCTGGCTAAGAGTTCAGCGCACTGTTACCAAAGTCGCCGCCGTGCTTCAGTCGCAGGCTCAGCCCAGAGCTCGGTGAGGGCACAGGAGACGCAAGTCCTGCGTCCCGCATGCCCACACGTGGAGAGGCGCCACCGCCAGGCCCAAAGGGCTCTGTGCACTTAGAACAATGCGGAACAAGTCCAAGCTCAGGCGCCAGGCCAAGCAAACGTGTCAGAGAAGCGTCACGCCGGCAGCGAGCCACGCAGATGTGCGTGGGATGAAGGACTTCTACGAGGGAGAGGGAGAGGGACGGGGGGGGCGGGTGTCACCTCACCCCCAGCAGCTGGGAGGTCCCTCCTGCCCCTCACCAGCCACCAGGGGACACCCTGCAGTTGTCTCTGGGGAACCAGCACCGTTATTTCACAGTTGCATGGGGGTGGGGGTCAGACAGGCAGCAAGTGACTCGGCCTCAACTTGAAACAGTGACCACGGTTCTTTCCACTACGCTGCGCTGCTCGGCAGGAAGAGGTACTTAAAAATACACAAACGGTCTGACTGGAGCAAGAGGGGCCCCAAACATCTGCTTTGATAGAACATAAGTCTAAATGTCAAGCAGATGGCATAAAACAGCATTAAAAATAAATACCATGCAGAACTTTCAGGATGGAGTTGTGCGGACAGAGGAAGGACTCTGAAAAAGCAGTGACAAGATCTCCAACTGGCCCTCTCCTACTAGGTGAGCGGCCTCTCTCTGGATTTAATATACGGTATTAAATAAAGTGTAGGGTTAATAAGGCTGGGGCACAAGGACTCTTCAGCACCAAGCAGCTTGGGCTTACAGCAGCATCGGCTGTTCCCTGGGCCCAGAACGTGCCCCAGCCCTACCTGCGGCGAACAGCACTTCCTCAGGTCCCACGACACCCCTTCCCATGCCCCTCCGAGAGTCAAGAGCCATTTGGGTTATTATTTGATCAACGTCTGTGTCCTGCGTCGGGTTAGAAGCTCCCAGAGAGGCACGATGCCTGCCTTGCTAGCAACTGGCAACGCCAGCTCACGGCGGGCACACAGTGTCTGCGGAATGCCCCAAGTCTGGAAGGAAGGGGGAAGAAAGGTGGGATGGGGGAACTCCTGCCGTGGAAAAGACGCTCCCTCCAAACCTGAGACAGCCCTCCCCACCCCCAACCAGACGACAAACGGCATTTCAGAGAGTAGACTTGTGCCCTGGCTCTCAAACTTTCACCAAGGCAGCCGACACCTCGTTAAGCATCTAGACGTCTTGTTACAACGTCTGTGGTGGCCTCGACCTGGGTCTTCCTGCCCTGGGACCCCCGTCTAAGCCTGCTCTAAGAGCAAAGGGGGGCATGTGGCTCAGGGGCTTTGCCCCCCGACTGGAACTCATGGCCGTGGCATTTCTTCCTGGCTCTGCTGGGGCCTGACACTTACCCCTTAAACTTCGGTCTGGGTGCCATGCCCCCAACCACTGGCGCACTGCCAGACACCAGAGAGGAGGCCTGCACAAGGGTGTACTCACGGCACAGGCTTGGGGGACTGTTAGGGCTCCCATCCTCCCCCAAAAGACGAAAGACCCCTTAACCAAGGCAAGGCTTTACTTTAGAACTTAGGACTGAGAATGATACAGCCGGAAGGGAATTGGACCAAGGGCACAAGACTACTGGCTCCGGAAGCAGCCGGATCCTTCGCTCTATACTCAGCAAACATGAGCGCCTACCACGTACCAGGGTCCTTACCCAGCCACTCAAGTCTGTTTCCAGAGAAACGGGCCATGAAAGGAGGCCATACCACGGCCCACTACCCTGCAGAGAGCGGAATGACCACTAGCACGAAGAAAGTCACCACGCAGTTTGCTGCAGGTCCTTCCAAGAACACCAACAAGTCAAAAGGCTGGAAGGCCCAGTTCATCCCCTCGAGGCTGCCCCAGAGCATGCCAGCTAAAGTATCAGGTATTTGATACTCAGAGAACAATCCTCCCATACAAAATGTAAAAGAAGGTATTTAAATCCCAGGGAAGTGGGGCGGAGGCGGGCGGGCAAGAATGGCTTCTTTCTTTCTGGCCTTCACCAGCTCAGCCTACAAGACCAATGTTACATTCTGAGTTAAAACCCCACCCCCAGTTACAGTTAGAGAAAACCACACTTAATTTTAATAATAATTTCCTTCACTATCAAGAAGGATCCAGAATGTTAGACTTTCTTACCGCCTGGACTCCGATAGAGAGAGCCAACCCACCTCTTCACTCCTCACCAGTGTCCTTGTCTCCACACACTGCCTGGACTGAGGTTTTCTGTCTTTCCCAATAGAACAGGGTCATCTTTGGCTGTCCGGTGAAGGCTACGGATGTCCCTTTCTCAGACTAACATTTTAAAATGCACGATAAAATACCTACGCTCACAAACGAAATCAATTATATTGAAATAATTATCAAAACACTTAAAATGTTTACGCGGATACAGTAATCTACAAGCTTTAAAGTATTAAATAACAAGACATAGTACCCACTATAATAACTACTGTGATCTTGTAGCAATGAGTGTAAATGGTTATTTTAAGAAATCCCCAACAACTGTAAAGCGATATGAAAATAACAGTAACTACTACTGATGACAAAAATCATAGGTACTGCTAATGCGCCTTTGCTTTGCAAGTTACATTCATAATTGTAGGAAGTAATGAATTGTAACTTAAGTCTAGTGAAAATAGAGATGCATGTTTTTTCTCACGGAAACTCATGGACCTCTTGAGTTCTATCTGCCATCCCACAGACTCCAGGTTAAGAGCCCCTGCACTAACAGCAACTTCATAGGATCGGCGGCCCAAACATTAGGGTGAAAAGATGCTCTGCAGGAGATATAGCGCCTCAAATGGTAGGCCTTGCCCACTTCTGCATCCTCAACTTCCTGCCACTTCTGTGGTGAGCTCCCATCTTGGACACATCATGCCTAGGGAACAGCTCCATCAGGTGGCACCCACCCCTGTAGAGCAATGTTTACCAGTCATCACCCCTTTAACCAAACTGGAAGCTCCCAGGCGTGGAGTCTCTCCTTGTGCCCCTAGTACCTAACACAGTGCCCGGAACCTAGCAGCTGCTCAGCGAGTGTTGACTGAACGAGTAAGTACTGTGTGCCAGGTACTGAGCTAGGTGGCCCTGAGGCTGATTCCAAGATGACAACCTCAGTCCCTGCCATAGTATGAAATGAGACAGCCTAAGTACACTATGGTACCCACTCCCCTCCAGCCAGTAACTACTGCAAATCCAGCAGTACCATCCCGTCATTCATAAAACACATACTGCCTCACCGCCTGGAAGGAAAATCAAGGTACCTTGACCATGAGCACTAAGCTTGGATAAAGGCTTTCTGCTGGGAGTGGGGAAGAGAGGGCAGGTGGGAACCCTGATCAGGCAGGCAGACAGGAGCTGAAGGAGGCAGGAACCTCCAGACACACTACCTCACTCCAACACTCCTCCCGCCATCGGGCAAGCCTCAGGGACCACCGGAGGGAAATCCCAAATCTGTCAAGAAGCCCAGGTGAGAAACCCCAGGAGCCACTCGTACCCAAACCAGAGAGCTGCAAAGGCATCAGGAGGACGTGTCTGTGAACTTGGAAAGTTTGAGGAAAATGCTAAACCATAAATTAAGCCAAAAGTGAATGCACTGCACTGAAATGACACCAACTTGCATAGTTTTGCATAATTAAAAAAAATGAGAGTGGGTGTTGAAATGATAGCCAAAAATAGATTAAAAAAAAAACAACCCTCACTTGCCAGTCGCCACCATCAATGTAGGACAAAAATCTTCCAGAATAAGGTTAGGTCAAAACCAGACTAGCTTCAAAAGGCCACGCGTACGTTTTCTTCCCAAGGCGAATGACTATAAAACAAACCCAGAAATAAGGACAGAAGCGGCTGCTTATTTTTACAAAGTAAAAGGCACCACCAGCTCCTGACCGTATTTCCCGGGCTTTTGCTGCAAGATCAGCAAAACCTTCCAGAAGGGTCCACCCGGCGGGCCATACAGGGGACGAGAGGAAGCAGCTGCGCCCGCAGGCCCCGCGCGGGCTCGAAAGGGCCGGCCCGGCCTGCAGCTCCCGACCAGCCCTCCCCCCACCCTCCCCGGACGCGCGGAAGCCCCAGCCTCGCACAAAGCGGCCTCTCCGCCCGTACCTGCACCATGATGGCCATCCGGAGCGAGTCCTTGGGGATGCTCTCACTGCATTTCTTGCAAGAGGCGCGCCCGCTCTTGGCGTACTCGACCCGGTAGAGCTTGTCCGATGACTCCGCCATCCTCCTCTTCGAGCTGCTGCAGCTCCGGGAGCCCGACGCCGCTACCTGGAGACCCGCTGCTGCTACCAACGCCTCGCCCGCCGGTCCGCTCCCCGCTGGCGCACGAGCGTCTAGAGACGCAGCCGCCGCCGCCTCCGAGCAAGCCGCGTAGGCCACCCGCCGCTCTGGATAGATTACTGATGCCTGGCGGCGGGCACGCTCCGGCGTCCGCGCTCACGTGGCGGGGCCGCCGGCGCGCGCGCCCCCTGCCGGCAGTGGGGTGGTGTTTCCCCGGCCCCTGAGGCTGCGGGAGCTTGACCCTGGCTGCGGGCCTAGGCCGGGCTTACCCGGCGCCTGTAGCTCTTTGAAGGACGAAGCGCCGCCACACCTTTAACCATTTGTCCCCAGGAAGGCTTACGTGCTCTCACAACTAATTCCAGCCTCTTCTCTTTTTAATACGTGTATACTCTCTCCCCTGAGGGCGGACAGGTCTGGAAGGCGCTGGGCTGGCTCGGGAATGTGGTTGATCTGCCAAAGAGAGGTCAACCTGGGCTGGCCCTCGGCGGACGTTCTAACTGCAGTCCGCAGACCGTTGGGACCCAATACTAACTGAAATCTAGCATCGCCTTCATTATGAATTGTAATGCATGGATACAGATTCTGGGAGTCTTAGCAATACCTGTGACTTTGTCAGCAATAGTTAGCACAGGTGCTTTCCTATCACTTTGCGATTGTTGGAGAGAACTCAGTATTAAGCTCATCACTACTTAAATTGCGGTAGTTAAGAGACCTGCTACTAGATCTTGTTTTTTAATGTAGAACTGTGTTTTTATATAACTGGTTTCTTTTAAAATTCTATGCATTTAATTTTATTCGTTTAAAACCCTGTAACAGAGTGTGCTGTCTTTGAGACTCTTCAGTTCTATAGAGGACAAGAAAAATAAATGGGATGAATGAAACAAAACTTGTTAGAGAGGAGAAGAAAGCTAGTAGCTTTTGAGACATGGATGCTGAGTAAGCAAGAAGGTTGTGGGACATAGGCAAGAAGCTTAAGTAGTGACCTGTTAGATATGTTGAAGATAAATAGAGTTAAGTGGAATATATGATGGAACAAATAAAAGAATTTTGCTTGGAGAGAAACCAAAAGGCATCATCATTCAACGTCTGGGTTGACAACTATGTCCTCCCTAATGGCCACTCACTGGTGATAACGCTATGGTCCCATTCTGGCTCCCCTACGCTCTGCCCAAGAATTGCAGATAAAACCCACATCTGTTCAGCGGCTGATTGGCAAGCTACGGTTGTGGCCAGGCATAGTTGCCCCTGTGTCTTTCTGATACGTGACTGTGAGTTGGCTCCAGATACTCTCTGTTGAGTAGCCTCGAGCATCCTCAGCTCTGGTCTTCATAACCCCACTATCAGTGGGGTTGGATGATGAAGCAGAGAGAAAGAGAGACAGAAAATGAACATTGCATGACCCCAGGTTTAGATGGTGTGGTCCACCTCACCTCTAGCCTGTCCTGGGTATGGTATGCATCCCATGTTGTTCCCTGCCGCAGGAAGTTTCAATCAGGTGTTTCAGATGGATTTAATAAGCCTCACAATTCAAGCATCTTAATTTGGTCTGTGGGGCTTTCTGTTTTGTGACTTAGATAACTTGCCTGATAGTGTATCTAGAAGCTACCATTGCATTTGAGGTCCACAGACTTCATTGGATCGACAAATGGGACCTGGGTGCACACACAAAGGTTAAGAATTCCTGCCCTACGTATATCCAGACAAAACTATAATTCAAAAAGATACATACATCCCTATGTTCGTAGCAGCACTATTTACAATAGTCAAGATATGGAAACAACCTAAATGTCCATCAACAGATGAATGGATAAAGAAAATGTGTTTTATATATATATATATATATATACACACACACACACACAATGGAATATTACTCAGCCATAAAAATGAATGAAACAATGCCATTTGCAGCCACGTAGATGGACCCAGAGATTATCATACTAAGTGAAGTAAGTCAGAAAGAGAAATACCATATGATATCACTTGTATGTGGAATCTAAATTATGACACAGATGACCTTGTCTACGAAACAGAAACAGACTCACAGGCATAGAGAACAGACTTGTGGTTGCCAAAGAGGAGGGTTGGATTGGGAGTTTGGGACGAGCAGATGCAAACTATTATATATAGAATGGATAAACAACAAGGTCCTATTATATGCCACAGGGAACTATATTCAATTTCCTGTAATAGACCGTAATGGAAAAGAATATGAAGAAGAATATATATATATATAATATGTATAACTGAATCACTTTGCTGTACAGCAGAAATAACGCAACATTGTAAATCAACTATACTTCAATTAAGAAAGAAAAGAATTCCTGCCGTAGAACACTGAGGAGAGCCAGGTATATTCTACTGCCTACTCGATATTTCTGTTTGGATGTCATATATATATCCAGTGATGTCCAAAACCTCCCCTAGTACTTTCCACCTCAGGAAATGGTCCATGGTTCTCCACGTTGCTTAAGCCAAACGCCTTGGAGTCAACTTGACTCCTTTTCTCTTTTGTTCCACATCCAATCCGTCACTGAATCCTGACTTCCATGACCTCAATAGTTTCTCACCACCTTCCCATCAACACAGCACCACTGTCTGGACCGCCATCATCTTTTGTGGTTCCGAGACAGTCCCCTTCCCTGCTGGCCTTCCCGCAGTCTTTTCTCCCTATGAAAGCATGTGAGGTCACTTTAGATCTCAACCTGTGTTACTTCGACATTCAAAACCTTCCAAAGCCTTCTCATCACACTTGGAATAAAAGCCAGAATTCTTCCTGTGGCTGAATCTGAGCCCTGTCTGCTACCCTGACTTCATGGCCTCCGTCTCCTGGGGGCTCCAGCTGCCCCAGCCACACCGGCTTCCTGCCTGTTCCTCAAACGCCACAAATTCACTCCCACCTTGGAGATTTGGGGATTTGCATTTACGTTTCCCGGAACAGTCTTTACCGGTGGGTGCAGGGCTCACTCCCTCTCTTCGTTCAGCTTCTGCTCACACATCACTGTGATGACCCCAGCTAAGATGCTTCATCTGCACGCCATCTTCAACTTCTTGCCCTGCTGTGTTCTTCTTTGCACTTATTACTCCTAAGCATATTTCATACACATGTATATGTTTATTGTCTGTCTCTTTCACCAAAATGTAAGCTCTACCAGGGCAGGGGTTTTTATCAATTTTGCCTGTAGTAATATTCTCAGTGCCTGGAACAGTGCCAAGCACTCAGAATATTTTGTTGAATGAATCCACATTTGGCACTTCCTCTGCACAGCCCACCTGTTTAATAATAAGGTTCCTTCACATTTATATAGATTTTTGTGTTTTACAATGGGCCTTCCCAAACATTATTTTGTTTGCTTCTCATTATAATGCCATAAAATAATTTTCTTTTTTCAAAAAACTAATAAACTATTATATTTACTTAGAAGCATTCAAGCTGTCACAAAACTGTTACAACTCCCCCGACCCCTAATTACAGAGTAGAGTTCAGTAACAGAACAATTATTTCGTATAAGCTGCATGAGAGACAACTGAAAAAACGACAGTGCCCCTATATAATTAATTTGTCTTTTGCACCTACAAGAACCTGCTTTGAATTCTCATGCTGGGTCACAACCCGTATACAACACCAGGTAAGGTTAGTGGCCTTGGAAAATATCACCAGGACAGGGTTGTATAAAAATTATTTGGGAATTCTTGTTAACAATAACCCCGCATTCCAAAAAGGGGCAGTTTAAAAGAAAATCTTACCCAGCTTTACATTTCAATTTTTTTTTTTAATTTAAAAGGAATGAAAAAAAAATGAATTGTGTCCAGGGAGGTTAAATGCTTAATAGACAAGAAAAAAAATGCTGCCCTAGAACCACTTCATTCACCATCATCATCTTCAACTTAGTTGTCTTTATCTTCCTCTTCCTCATCTTTCTGTCCTTCTTTCTCGTTCTCCTCTACCTTTTTTTTTTTCTTTTTTTTTGCGGTACGTGGGCCTCTCACTGTTGTGGCCTCTCCCGCTGCGGAGCACAGGCTCCGGACGCGCAGGCTCAGCGGCCATGGCCCACGGGCCCAGCCGCTCCACGGCATGTGGGATCTTCCCGGACCGGGGCACGAACCCGCGTCCCCTGCATCGGCAGGCAGACTCTCAACCACTGTGCCACCAGGGAAGCCCCTCCTCTACCTTTTTCTTCTTGTCTGGATCAGCCTTGACAGCCTCCTTTTTTTTTTTTTTGCCACATCAGCTTTCCTTTGCCTCAGGATGCAGCAAGATCCTTTCAGTACTTTTCCTTCCTCTGAACAGACTTCTTTTCAGGCTGCCTGCCATCCACAGCACTGTCACTCACATCTCTCCCAGTTTCTTTGCTTCACTGCCAATAGACAGACCAGGATCTCCTGTGGTTTGGGGGTGGTACTCAGAAGACGAGAAAGAGGCCATAGGAGGCTTTTTGGGTGGTTGAAATCCCTGAACTTCTTTTTGTTTCCATTTTGGGAGGAATAAAAGTTTTCATTTCTGTTTTATAAGGGGCCTTGTCCACTCTTGACATTTCTCCAATTTCCTTTCTCTTTGGCAGACAAGGCTTTCCACCTTTCCGAGCATTTTAAAGAACATCTTGAGAAGTTGACCGAAGCATCTGGATGGTTTTTCCTGAGCTCCTTCCAGCAAGTTTACCCAGAGTGCCTATGATGCCATTTGGCCTCGGGCTTTGTAGGACCTCCTCTGCCCGTGTTTAGTTATTTTTCCTCAGGGAGGCACAGAGTTGCTCAGTGCCCCTTGCTCTCACTTGCCTCGGCAGTGTCTCTAGGTATTTTTAATACCAGTTTTCATGTAAGAACGTGAACCCGACAGGTCTGGAGGCTTGCTCATCCCTTGGTCGTTTAAGCCTTGTCTACTGCCTCTCCTGTTCTTTTCTCTCCCTCCCTCTGCTATCGTCTTCACCACCTCGCCCCGCAGCATTATTCTTCTCACCCTCTTTCAACATGTCCATTGCTTTTTTAAAAACAAGTTCGGTCATGACGTCTATCCTGCTCAAACCTCTCTGTTGAATCCCTGTATTAAAACTTTCTGATTATACGTGACAGAAACCCGGCTTGAAAAAAGATAGGCCAAAAGGGGAATTGG